ATTTTTTTTATTTTTTTCGAACTTAACTTTTAATACTTTTTATGTTTTTTATAACGTTTGCGTTTCAACATTTAAGATAATTTACGCTTGCTGCGGTTAGTTGAGTTAAAGATTTGTTTCCTTATACATTTGACGTAGAAATTAGGAAAACTGGTAGAAAACACACAAATTTAAATACTTCAACGCAGCTAAGAAAATCCACACAAAATGCTTAACCGAACCGATATACAAGTCTAACAAAAATTTTCACAAAACTTAAAAACACCAAATAGTTTTTCTATATTTTCACTATCCTTCACAGTCTGCATCCAGTTTTTTTTTTTTGTTTTTTTCTATGTCAATTATTTTTTTGCATCGACTCTTCCAACGGTGAATTTGTAATGACACCCTTAGCCAATGTTCCACTTGTTTTTATATCTGCGTTTGTGAATGTTTGTGACTCGTCCGCCAGAGTGTGGCGTCCGGTGGTTGAAGGGGGAACTATTGTTCGGTGTTGCACTTCTCTGCTTGGTGCTTTTTCCAGGTCGACCGTTCAATTCGACGCTTCAAATGAAATTGTGAAATTATTTGTCCGAGCGAATTTGCAGAAATTCTTGGTGACAGGATAATAATCCAGCAAGGATTTCCAGTAGCAGTGTTGCCAGATGACTGTGTAGCAGCATGAGTGGGGGTATGTACTCACTTAGCGGGGACTAAGAGGGCAATTCTGGCTAAGATAGTAAAAAGTCTTTCGTAAGACTTATTATTAATAGTTATTCTAGAACAAAAGTCTTAAAAAAGCTCTCGCATTCACCACTCGCGGTGAAAAGCTATTTTGAGAGAAAGCAGTTGCACATCATTTAGCTCGCGTCCCTCCAACAGTCGCAATGTCCGAGTGAGCAAAGTACAGGAGTGTCATTCGACAGATCGGAGTTCGGATCCTAGAGCAGCGGATTCTATTTTCTTTTCTATTAAGTTAACATATGTATATTTTTTTTAGATTACCTTTTCTTTTAATTATTAGATTTTATTGTTTTAAAAAGAAAAATATGTTTTTCTAATTACATTTAATTTTTGGAAACTTAATTTCTGTATTTTTTTTTCTTTTTTAATTTAATTTTTTATCTTTCTCAATTTAATTTTCTTAATTGTTAAGCTGTTGAATGTTAATTGTTTCAGAAAGAATATTTTTTTATTTTCATTTAATTTTTAGGAACTTATTTTCTCTTTTTTCCATTTCTGATTTGTTTATTTTATTATTATTTTATTGTTTATTTTTTGTTTAATTTTCTTTTAATTTGTAGATTTTGTTGTTAAGAAAAAAAAATATATTTTTAATTTCATTTAATTTTAGGCATTTATTTTTTAATTTGTTTTTCTCATATTAATTTACTTTTTTTTTAATTTTTAGGTTTTTTTGTTGTAAAAAGAAAAATATATTTTTCATAATTTTGATTTAATTTTTAGAAACTTATTTTACATACATATATTTTTTTCTTTTTTAATTTTATTTTTTATCTCTCTCAATTTAATTTTCTTTTGATGTTAAGCTGTTATTGTTTCAAAGAGAATATTCTCATTTATTTTATCTTTTTTTTCCTTTTTATTTTTAGATTTTGTTGTTAAGAAAAAAATATTTTCTCAAATTTGATTTGATTTTTAGGAACTATTTCATTTTCGTTTTTTTCGTTTATTAATTTCATTTTCTTTTAATTTTTAGATGTAAGTGTTTTCAACAGAAAAATATATTTTTTATTTCATTTAACTTTTAAGTATCTATCTACAATTTTCTTCTTTTTTGTTTTTTTTTCATTTAATTTTTAGATTTCATTGTTTTAAGAAGAAATACCAATTTTATTAATTCATCATCAATCAATCATAAAAAAAATCAATTATAAAAAAAAAATATTTGCTTAGTTTTGATTTGTTGTTCTTCTTTGATTTGATTAATTAAATTGTATGTTTTTTTATTTTATTATTATTTCATTTATTTATATATAATTTGTGAAAAACTTATTGCTAGAAGGCGAACAGCATAAAGCTGAGAACTCCTCGTTAGCAGATCTTTCAATTGATCTTTCGAAGGGCAGTAAAGTGCTTTTAAGATAGTTGAAAGAACTGAAAATTAACTTACGAAAGATTTTTATCTTTCGAAAGACTGTGGTGAGTTGAAAGACAATGGCCAGAATTGCCCTGTAAGCAGCATAACCAAAATATATACGCTTGTTTGTGACGATTAACGAAACGCTAGTTGATGGCATAGAAATATGAAGAAGAATTATTTTTACAAAGGCGTTAAAATCCATTTCGCTTTACAGAATTTATTATAAAACTCAACAATATTTTTTTGAACAATATTTTTTAAACACTTGTTCCCCCATGCGCTTTAACACTCAATCCGGCAAGCCTTGAGCGGTCATGCGCACCACACATGGATCCTCTCCCCATCCAATGTTCTCGAATTTCTGACAAGTCACTTTAGCAATATTCCAGCTGCACTAACAAAATGCATGCAAGTCGTAAAGAAATTTTAATATATGTACTATGTCCATGTACATATAAACATAAGCGAGCATTGAAAGTGTTAATTTTAAAGCTTAATTACCGCGTGTCGTGTCGGTAATGGGCTTCTTCCCACTGATCTTACATATGTATCTACATTTAAGGCACATGCATGCATATGTACATATGTAAATGTTTAGCTACTCGTGCGCACATTACCTTGGAGGACATGTGCAATGAATAGGTGTAATTTCAAAGGAGCTGGCCTATTTTGCTTATTGAGGTTATATACTTAAGAGCATTGTTTGTCTAAAGTGCATATTCGCTTATGAGGAAAAATATAAATAGAAATTGAGATAGACATGGTAATAAGCTCGCCCTACGAGAACTTGAAGATGAATGAACCGCGTATTTTAGTTTCGGGTTATCAGTAACATATCACAAAGAATAGGCGCCTTCAGCCTTTTCGGACGTGGAGGTCGCCTTTAACAATATCAGCTTGGTATTTATGCACTCCTCCTCGGTCGCCGTAGAACTGGATCCACTTATCACTCTCTAGATCGACAATATGTTGAGTACCAAAAGCAGAAACAAATACACGCGGTGCACATTTTATCTCCCTAGCTACGGAATTTCACGCTAAACGAATTCTTCCTTATTTGCAGAGGCACTAGGGCAGGTTAGATTAATGAGGCAGTCAGTCCAAAAGGCAAACTCACTTAGACTCTGCAGGTCCATTGTGAGACACAAAAATATCCCTCTACCTCCAATCAATCGCGGTCTGACCTCTGCTGTGCTCAAGGCTGTAGTTCAAGTCGAAGCTACACCTGTTGGGGGTTTTTGGAGGACCGTACTCCTTATTGATTTTTTTCTGCAATTTTCGCTCATAATTTTGGTCCCTTGAGTATCCTAAAAAGGAGGTCCGACCGCACCAGGGGTTCGTGTGCACAAGTAGGGCTAGATAGAACCGGAGATCGCTGGATATCCGGAGTACTCCGTTAGAGACTCGGATAGTTATTGATCTGGGTCACCAGCCAGGCCGAACATCAGTAAGGGTCGTCTATTACCTTATTCCAACCAATAGATTTTTTTAAGAATCTGCCATTCTTGGCTTTATATGTATGTTATTTATTTTTCTGCCGTACTTTGGCCCTCTCACCGCGGGAAGGTGGTCAACCTAAGGTACTAAGATTGTTATGTATGCAGATGGCTTATTCATTCTGGTAGAAGTGAAATTTATTTCGACTGTCATTGAGATTCTACGATCGGTAATCAACGGTAATCCTGGCCACGACTCGATGAACGAAGAAGACGGAGTTTGATAAGGTTCTCAAAGCCAAACTTTATTTTTCTCACAGGAATAGTAAGGAGCGGCACTGAGCCATAGGCCACGGAGCCCCGTATAACGATTTATGCGGAAGCTGCAGAGATGAAGATGAGATAGAATCCATCCCGCACTTCCTTTGCGAGTGGCCTGCCCTCCGAAGTAAGCATCCAAAGTCTTCTGCGGGACCACTTCTTCGAAAGCTTCCGAGACAGCTTAGGGAGGGTCTAAAAACATGGAGGGATGGGCATGGGTAAACCATTTGGGTTCTCTATGGGAGTTTGTGGCTTCCGAGTGAACTCTTTTCAGTGCTACATGCACATCCAACCAACCAGTAAAATAGAGTAAGTAGATAGAACGAAATTAATATGAGTGGAGGCTTCACAACAGTTCTTCTAAATATAAATCCCTCAGCAAATTCACGTAAACTTTCGGGTTTCGGAAGTGAATGTGCTTAAGCTACATTAAGAAACTAAAGTTCCTCTCAAGTCTTCTGGAGACGAGAATGTGTTGCCCTTTCCATGTTCAAGTCGTAAGACCTATAGAGATCATTTGACCATATTATATCTTCTTTCATAGAAGTTAGGCTCCAGAGTTGTATTCCTTAATCTCTTTTTCGGGTGAAAGTGATACTTGGCATACCATCTTATCGTCAATCATAAATCCCCCGGAACTATGCAACTGAGAATGCTCTCAAACTTTATTCTCGCCATGTTGTATATGCCATATGTCAGTAGTCTTGATGCTGCTCTAAAAGCGTCTTGGCGGAGTGAAGACGCATGAATTTGCTTCCTTTATAGGGGTTCATCCACAAACGCGCCACCGATAGCGCCATTTAATAGCGTTGAGAACTATTAACTCCTTATCTCCAATGTACTCTATGCCTCTGCAATCTATGTAATTGTGTAGGAGCTAGCCCCGGTCTTTTTTTTTTGCTTACTGCCTTAATTTGTGATAGAAATTTTGGGCTGAACGCCTGCCAGTCAGCATCTCAATCTCTTCGCAATCACGTCTTTCTCGTTTTATTTTCTTCTCTTTCCCTTCCTCTGATGGCGCTCGATTGACGCTCTCGTCGCGATTGACTACAGGGTGGCTCTAAACGAGGGTTTGGAATACTGAAAATCCCATTAAGTTGTAGGAGTAGACTCGAATAGTAGGAGTAAAATAAATTTAATATTTTTCAGTTAGTTGAAATCTCTCAGTTTATTAAGAATAAAACATATTTGTTTAAATAATGTTTGAGCATCGAAAATAAACACGTTAGATCACGCAACACGTACATACATCTAAATATCAAAAATTAAAAAAAAAAAATAAATATAAAATATAAAGCGCACATGCATAGATCCTCAACTAAAATCCCATACCCTGCAATACACTCAGCAGCGGTGGTACAGCCCTTTGCTTCTTCTCTTCATCGCCACTGCGACACTTTTTCGAATCCTCATTACGTTTATTGTTGGTGCTATCGTTGATATCGGTATCGGCATCATTATTATTGTCGCCATGCACCGACTTCGCACCGGCACTGGAAACCGCAAGTTTATCATCGTTTTTGTTGCTCATTTTAAGCGTAGAAATTAGGTTATTTCTAGCTTTCAGCGCAGCTGTATTATCATCAGCAATTTTGTTGTTATTATTATTAACGCTAGCGTGGCTACTACTAGCTTCTTTAGGACTACGTACAGGCGTGATCGATGCCGCGGCCGCTGGTGCCGCATCATCTACGCGGAATGAGTCAGTCTCTTCAGGTTGCTTAACAATTTTTATAATATGCTGCACGCTGGTGCTTGGGTTATCACCGCTATCGGTAGACTGTGGCTGTGCCGCATGCAATATTGCTTCGTCGAGCAGCCGTTTGCACTCCTCGATTTGGTTCTTCCATGCGTGCACGGCATATTGCGCCTGTTCTATGAATTCATTGGCTGGCAGGTCGGAGGTATCGGTTTTGATCGGCATACCGAATTCGTTGATAAGTATGCGTGGCTTGGTGGGTGCACCTTTGGAATTCGAATTCGGTTTTGCATTTGTATTCGTATTGACGTTTTGAGTGTTGCCGCCACCTTCGTTGCTGTTGTTGTTGCTGCCATTTTCGCCACGTTGTAGCGAAGCAGGATTATTGGGGTTTTCGTTGTTGCGATTTTGATTGCTACTCAAATAAATCCCTTTGTTTTGATTATTGTTTTCTGATTCGGTGTCAATGCGCTTCAAACCATCAGAGTCGTCTTCCTGCCTAAGACCAAAGGGCGCTCTACAACTACCCTTACCAGTAGTAGGCGGTCTCCTTGGGCAATTAGGCTTGGGACGTTCATCTTGACAAGAGCCCAGAAAGTCGCCTTCCAATTCATTAATCTCCTTCACAATAGCTACTGCATGCTCGCGCATGCGTTTTATCAAAGTGGTTACATGTTCTATTGTGTCCTTAGTGTCCTTCACTGCCGCATCCAAACGCGCTTGTTGCTCGGGCGTCTGCGGGTGGCAAGTGTAGGCAGCCTTCTGCTCCTGATCTTGGTGTTGCGCATTGTGGCCCTCACTTGCCTCGCGCTTTCTATGCGTTGCCTCTTCGTTCGTCACATCCAATTCTTCTGACTTGCCTATTCCGGCGAACTTTTCTTGTTCGCTTGCATCTTCTTCTCCCTCCGCAGCGGCTGGTTGACTGTCCAGTTGTTGTTGCAGTAATTCATCTTGCTCACCCTCAAGGGGCACGTCGTCGATTGGGCCCTGTTGTAGAAGTGCTTGATCGGCATCGGCGGTGCCTACGTCATTTGCTGCATTAGCAATTGTATCGTAGTAGTTCATGTCTTGATAGAAAGCATCGTCGTAGTTGTTGTTGCTGTTGTAGAGTACTGCACCCTCACCGATTGTGGTGGACCATTGCAATAATATGATAAGCAGCAGATAATATAGTAACGGTTGACGCCTGCATATCGTCATTTTTTAGACTTACTATTTTTTCACAAAAACATAAATAAATTGATTGAAAACAAAAAAATGATTTTATTTAATAATGTCAACCGGTGTTTTTTTTTTGTTTTTTGGAGGAGATTTTTTTCTATTTTAATTGTTTGCGAAGCAAGAGACAGGCAACAAATGCGATTACAAAGCAGGACTGTTACAATTAATTTGTAGTTTAATTAAATTTTCCAAGAATTAATACACAAGCCGTCATCGAATCGCCAACAATTGGCTAGTGGAGAAACGAACGAACTCAATGAGGTGTAACCAAACTCGCTATCGTCTATCCGTGCTAGCTAACTTTGTTGGTGCTTTCACATGCAAAATTCT